ATTCCCCAGCATATTGGAACAATAGGCATCTACATATGTGCTCTCCCTCTAAGGCAGTAAATGTCATTATGTCAGAGTAAATAAAACAAAAATGTGCTTAGTTCGGTTTCTAAAACAGATTAATCTGGATCATATCACAACAATCACAACATCGAAATGCAGACAGAGTCAAATTGTTATTATATCCACATGTGCTGTGTATGCAGCTTTTTCACGAGCATCTAGTGATTGCTCTCTGTTTCGTCCTGATGGTATCGCCGATTTAGTCCCCAACTTAGATCAAACAGAGACGAGAGGGAAAACACATTCAGCTCATCATAAAGTGGAAACTGAAAAGTTTAACAACCTGAAAAGACTGCCTAAAATGAAGTGCTTGGTCCACTTCAAAAAAGATCTGGCACTTAAAAAAATAAAAAATAAAATCAGTGCAAAAGATCATGAACTAAAATTTGTAATTTCCCACACTGATTACTCTGCTCAACTTTTTCCGCTCATGACAAAATGATGTGCAGAAGTCACGCAGTGACTCTCACCAGGTGAAATCTCATTTCTCTTTCTTCTTGTGCAGCATAACCGAGTTCAGCCCACACGGTGGGCATAAATGTTAAGTGCCTCTTAGCTTGAAAACTCATCAAGAGTAGGAAGGCCTGTGGGGTAGCAATCCGATTAACTGACGTAACCTTTGACCTGTAGGCGACCACATCTCTACAGGAAGCCCATAATTTTGAGTTTTAATAACACATAAAAGACTGCACACAGTTTTCAGTTACAGATGAATGGGTAAATGTGCTTGTGTCCTTAACTGGCACTATATCGAGCCAAGCCATAACGAAGGCAGTTTTGACAGTAACCTGGTGACCCTCAATTGCTTTAGCATTGTTGCACTGTGGAGGATTTGTAACACAGAGTTACACATCACACTTGATTAAAATCTCATTATAAAATGGTTATTAACAAGAGGGCAACTACATCAAACAATTAGCAGCACATAGAGGAAATGGTTTTATTGTAGATTGGAGA